AAACAAAACCAGGAAATCGCATTGCCATTGGCTACGGACTTAAAAAGTCTCGTAACCAGCTTATCGGAGGTTGCGAACTTTCAGAAATTTTCGGGCATGAAGGAAATTGGCTGAACGGTGAATTTCCACGAGAATGAAGGAGGAATCTTATTCCCTGTCATGTTAGACGTATCTTGAAAATGACCGTGATTAGAGAGCATTCCTTGAAGATTTTGAAGCTCTCATGAAAGAAGATTCGCAGTCCCGTTAAAATTACTTTTCGCACAGATCGCGTTTATTTTTTCTACTGCTTTCATGAAAAATCGATATTTAAATTAATTGATGACGTATTATGCATGCATATTCCAAGGGATATCATTTTTATTTAAGAGTAATTTATAATTATTAAAGATTATTGAAGTTTTCAGAGAGAAACCTAAGAAATTTTTATACCTTTTAGAATTTGGCTTCCTATTTATCGTTTACCATTTCTTATTATCAATAGATACATGATATTTACATTCAATAACTAAAATTAAGTCTAAATTAATAATTCAAGATGATTTTACTTTAATAAGACTCTAAATGGGAGCCTGATATCCTCGTAAACTTTCGCCGAAACATTAAATTTTCACGTTAAAGATATCCGCGTTACTCTCTTGAAAGCATAGGTGCGATAAAACACGCTCTATAATGCAATCTACTGCCATCCATATGAATTCAAAGTGAATGCCGGCGCGCAGATTTGTTCCAGGATCAAAAGCGTCAGCACATTTTCAACGAAAAAACTATTTACGCAAAGAAAGTGACTTTTTATTCTGTTTTTTTTTTACCATTTCTGTCACCGTTTTTTCTTTCTTTCTCTTTCTCTCGCACTGTTGTTCGTCTCTCTACATCCGTTGTGCTGTCAGGTAGTGGGAGTGCAATTGAAGGCAAATGCAATTCCCGATATTAGATTCGCCATTCGTTCTCTATTCGGATCCTGTGCCTTTTCTTCCCGTATTCCTCTTGTATTGAATACCATTCACCGAGTTTGGCCGGTGAATTATCGGCAATGTTTTCTGCATGACTTTGCAAGAAGCATCAACGACCAATCCACTAATACCAAACCACGTATAATAATCGCGCAACTTCATGACCTTTAGTTCCATTAACGGAAAAAAGCTCCGGTCCGCTGAAGTTTAAAAAATGCAACTAAAGCTTGTTTTCATGAAATGTAATCGTAAGTCGAAGTAATATATCTAATCCTTCGAATAAGAATTTTAAGATATATCGAATATTAAAATGCTTAGAAGAATATTCGTAAAAGGCTTAAAATAATGACAGGCTTGATTTCTGCTTGATAGATACACATAATTAATTTAATGATACTTACAGATTGTATTTAAATATAAAATACTGAATTGGAATAAAAAATTCATAACGTTACAAACGTCAACATTTAAGCAACTGTAACTTCATTAAAAATAAAAAAAGATATAACTTATATCTAATTTTAAAAAGAGAGAGGAGAGGAGAGAGAGGATTTAAATTTAAAAAAAAATTTTTAAGCTCTACTTTCCAAAAGTCACAAAAAATTTACAAAAATTTTTAATTTTCTAACATGAAAGTTTAAATGTTTCCCTACAAAATTGTTTCTCAAAAATATTATAAAATATAAATTTTTTGTTATTGAATTATCGTGAATTGAAAGGAGCATTTGATTTTGATGGCTCATAATTCTGTTAAAAATTATTGTACCGTAATTAAAAATACAGATTTTTTTAAATATCTAAAACGTTACTCTATCGATATAATTGCCATTTAAAAATAACATGCAGACATGGTCCAAATGAAGTAGCGCTACAAACTTTTGTCCCGACCCAATAATTTGTTACAAGATATTATATATATTTATATATATCATATTTTGCGAAAGTTTAAAGTAAATTTAATGCGCATACGAAAATCTCCAAGCATGCCTAATAGGTAATAGCTGAAGGAAAACTTGGTCGTGAGTATCGCGGCGCACCATGATGTATACGTGACGGCCCGTTGCGAAATCTATCGGCGCTAATGGATATACCTACATATACAGTATGTAGATATGCATCGTCACCGATTAACATGGTTCTATGAGCCATTTTTATCGTAAGCTGTGTATCCCTATAGAAGCTTCCGGATCGATTTAACGATACCAAAATGACAGTTTTCGAATATTCCATTAACCGTGAGTTTCCGGAACAACCGCAGTACCGGAGCAAGCACTGAAAAGTTGTCCATCACACGTGTCTATTGACATTCCTGTCACACTGCGATGATTACAAACATTTTAGTCAGATGCTAAATAAATAGCAATTAGCTAAATAATAGCTGGCCTTTATGCTAATTAAATAACAATGCTATCTAAATAATAGAACGATCATTAGCTAAACAAAAATTCATATATCTGACTAGTATCACATTGCTGTTTTTATCATGGCGGAAAATATGTTACATGATTTAATATCAGTAGATAATACTCGTAATTTTGCAAAACTTAAAATTTTTTATTCTTATATATATTTTCTATATTAAAATTATAATGTCAAATTGTACCCAATTTGAATGATTTTTAATCATTTTAATAGATCGCTTCGACTCTTACTCCATATGTCATTACTTTAATTAAAACAATGAAATTAAACAATTTAATTTAACTATATTAATAATGCATTAAATTTGACTGAAATGTGGTTTAGAGGAAAATTGCCGATACTGACATAAGTCTCCTAAAGTGACACCCCCTTATTTTTCGGAAACTAACTATTGCACTTTATTAATACTAATAAAATCATGATCTGTTTA